GCAAACACTCTGCTCTGTGAACTGCCTCTGCAGACAACTATTCTCTGCCTCATAAGCTATTAATTACCAGATGTTAGAATTTATTTATTTTTCCTGAAAAGAATTAAAAAAAAATAGAGTCTTTAGAAAAGAAGGGAAAAAAAAAAAAGAAAAAAAGAAATAAAAAGGAAGGAGAATGATTATTCGCTTTAGGAAACGGATAAAACAACTTCTCATCCCTCCAGTTATCCCCTATCCAAGTAGTTCCGAAGAGTTGAGCGAAGCAGGCGACGAGCCCGCCGTGCGCTCTGGGCTGTCTTTGCGCAGGGAGGGGAAGCAGGACCGGCCCTTGCCAAGCGGGGCCGCATCACGTCCTCCGCGACGCCGAGGGTGCGAGGGCTCCCCGGGCCGAGAGCTCTCTGACCGCTCGCTGTCGCGGCCCGACGTGCGCCCGACAGCAAAGAGGAGCGGCAGGGGCTTTTCCCGCTGGAAGCCCTCCTGTACCGCAGGCATCGCTGCTGCCGTTCCTGGGCCTGGCCATTCGCGCTGTCCGCACCCACCCAAGCGCTCTCCGAGCCGCGCTCCCGAGCCGCGGCCGCTTTCCTCTCGCTACCTGCGCGCTCGCTGCGCGCACCGCGGGGGCGGCAGCGCCGGCGCGGGCAGCAGCAGGGTGCGGAGGATTTCCCGTCTGGGACAAATGCACCTGCTAAGGCGGACGGCCCCTACCAAGCCTCCTCCTTACCCTCTCAACACCTCCCCCGCCACCCCCCCACGCAAAAAAAAAAAAAAAAAAAAAAGAAGAGAGGGAGGCGAGTTTCTCGTTTCCAGCTCTTACATGAAGTCCTGGGACTATCTACAGATGGCCCGTTCCGCCCGCGGAGGCTGCCGGAGTCTCACGGGGGCGCTTGCCAGCGTGGTTCCCCCCGCAGGGTTTCCCCCCCACCCGCGCCCCCCAGCTCAGAGAGCGATGTCGCTGCGATCCCTGACGGGACGTGCCTGGGGCAGCGGCCCACCTGGCCTCACACACCCCGGCCCCCCGTGAGCGCCTGCCCCGCTCTCCCGTCAGGGCTTGGCCCCCGCACTCCTCTCCGCGCTTTCCGCCCAGCAGCCGCGCAGGTGCCCCGAGGTATTTGGGGTGCCTACAGCAGGTGGGTTGTTGGTTCTGGAGAGGGGTCCACATCCTGGCCCCGAGCCTTTCCTTTAATGGATTTGTAACAAACTGGCGCAACAACCCCACGTCTCTCCCTGTCAAGGTGCTTCGCGCATACAGGGCTGGCAGGGGTACATTTAGCGACTGCCCCGCCCTGGTCGGAGACTCCGATGCTCAGCGGCCAACACACGCCGTCTGCCTCCCGAGAAGTAGGAGCCTAACCCTTCTCGGCG